AACACACACACACACACACACACACACACACACACACACACACACACACACACACACACACACACACACACACACAAGCGCACATAATCATGTTCAAACATAAAAAAAACTTACAAAGTAAATCGTCTAAAAAATAATTTAAAAAACACAATAGGTACCATAACAACCAGCACCCCCTCCCCTTCCTCTTTCTTTTTCTCCATTGCTATTCAAAATATACCCAAAAAAAGGGTACAGAAATCAACGCGCAGGTCTTAAAGTAGAACACATTATCTCGGTAGACCGTCAAGTAGACCGTGGTCAGTTTTTAGTTTTAGTAAGTGTTTTACAGCACTTGCAACACAATAAGGTCATATAAATGCCGAAGATTAGAGGTGTTACCAGGGAGTAACAAACACAAAATAGAAGGAGGGGAGATAAGGACGATAGATGTTCAGTTAGTTTTAGTAGAGGTTTTACGGCGCTTACAACACAATAAGGTCATATAAATGCCGAAGAAAAGAGGTGTTACAAGAGAGTAACAAACACAAAAAAGGAGGAGGAGAGATTTATATGAGGACGATAGATGTTTGATAGGAAGGAAGGAAGGAGCAAATCACACCAGAGCACCCGCCAACCACAAGCTGATCGTGGTCAGTTAGGCCGGACGAATGGTTGACTGAGTTAACGAGGCAGACCGTCAGCAGATGGACTGGTATCAAACAATGGTTGTTCGTCAAGTATTATACTTTCAGGAAGAGCTCATACACGATGCCCGTTTATAAATATATACGATTTATCATACATACTACAATAGCCATGCAACCAGTCAACTTTCATAATCTCACAACCGCAAAAGGAAAGAAGGAGAAAAACCACACCAGAGCACCCGCCAACCACCCACAAGACACTTTAACTCCGCTGCAAAACGATTATACAACCAAAATATTCAACTTGGTCGAAGTACTACTTTCACCTCCTCGTTGTGGTAACGGGGAATAAGTAAACAGCAGATCCTCAGATTATAGGCGACTTCCAGGTGGAGAACCATAGATACGGGGTACATGGAAGCGGAACCAATAGATTGGAAAAAATATTAATCCGCAGACAGGAAAAAGAGGCTAAAACAGCACCTGGACATTGATGGCCGGTGCCTCTATAAATAAATCATTGATGGACAAGGTCAAGGTCAGACCCTCAGAACCGTCAATTTCATCAGTTTCAAAATTTGCACGTGACGAACTGAACACTGAACAGGCGACGCGTAAAATCGATTCCAAATTTGAAAAAAAAATTTGGCGAAGACAACTGGACCAAGAGGTATACATCTTTCACTGGTGCAAAAGAAACTTTGTAGTTACTGACCGTTGTGGTTACTGAACTTTGTAGCCACTGGTCCAAAAGGAACTTTGTCGTTACTGGTCCAAAATGAACGTTGTCGTTACTGGTCTAAACGGAACTTCGTAGTTACTGGTCCAAAAGGAACGTTGTAGTTACTGGTCCAAAAGGAACTTCGTCGACTGGTCCAAAAGGAACTTTGTAGTTACAGGTCCAAAAGGAACATAGAAGTTACTGGTCCAAAAGGAACATTGTACTTATAGGTAAAAAAATAAAGAACTTTGTAGTTACAGGTCCAAAAGGAATTCTCCCGCGCACACAGAGGCTGGGAATAACCAGGATGTATCTCAGCCCATACCGCACATGCGCAATGAAACGGAAAGGTAGCTAATAAAATACTATTCGCTAAACTTCTCGCATGCTTCAAAGCTGCTCACCTCCATAGATGTTATAAAAAAAGAAAAAAAAAGACGAGCATTGAACGCCGCTCATCCAGTACAGCACGGTTCACAGACTTTGAACACTATGCGAGTCTGGCGGTAGGTTTTATTGGGGATTTTTTTGCTGTCAGGGCATACAGACTCAAATTCTCATGATCGTAATGTCGTGCATGAAAGGAATCGATTGACTTTCAACGTGTGCCTTTGTGTGCGTGTTTGTGTGTAAGCATGTGAGTGTGTGTGAGTGTGTGTGTGTGTATGTGTGTGTGTGTGTGTGTGTGTGTGTGTGTGTGTGTGTGTGCGTATGAGTGTGTGTAGGTGTGTACAAGC